AATCACTACAGACCCAATAGAAATAAAGAAGATCATCAACACCTATTTTGAAAACCTCTACTCTCAAAGGTTTGATAACACAGAAGAAATAGACAGATTCTTAGAAACATATGAAGTACCAAAGCTAGATCAAGAGGATGTAAAACTGCTGAATAACCCAATCTCTATCAATGAAATTGAATATGAAATTAATTCCTTACCTACAAAGTAGCGCTCAGGCCCAGATGGATTCACTGCAGAATTCTACAAGAAATACAAAGAAGACCTAATGTTGACACTCCTCAAACTATTCAATGAAATTGAAAGGAAAGCAATCCTTCCTAAGTCATTCCTGGAAGTAAATATTACTCTAGTACCAAAACCAGAAAAAGACCCAACCTTAAAAGAGAACTACATACCAATTTCCCTAATGAACACAGATGCAAAAATCCTCAATAAAATATTGGCAAATAGGATGCAGCAAATCATCAAGAAGATTACACACCATGACCAAGTGGGATTCATCCCAGGCATGCAGGGATGGTTCAACATACGTAAATCAATAAATGTAATCCACCATATCAATAAAGACAATAGTAAGAATCACATGATCATTTCCATAGATGCAGAAAGCCTTCAATAAGGTCCAACATTCATTCATGATAAGAACTTTACAGAAAATTGGAATAGGTGGTCTTTACCTCAATATAATAAAGGCTGTCTATGACAAACCAACAGCCAGTATCATACTAAATGGCCAAAAATTGAAAGCCTTTACTTTAAAATCAGGCACAAGACAAGGATGTCCTTACCACCTCTCCTATTTAATATAGTACTGGAAGTACTAGCCAGAGCAATTAGACAAGAGAGAAAAATAAAAGGGTAAAAGATAGGAAAAGAAGAAGTTAAATTGTCATTTTTTGCAGATGACATGATACTCTACATAGAAGACCCCCTAAAGTTCATTGAAAGACTCTTAGATATAATAAATAAATTCAGTAATGTAGCTGGGTACAAAATCAATACTCAGAAATCAATAGCATTCTTATATACTAATAACAAAATCACAGATAGAGAAATAAGAGAAGCCACACTCTTTACACTAGCAAACCAAAAATGAAATATTTAGGAATTACTCTTTTGAAAGAAGTGAAAGACCTATACAGGGAAAATTATAATACACTGAAGGAAGAAATTGAAGATGAGCTCAGAAAATGGAGACATCCCATGTTCATGGATAGGAAGAATAAACATTGTGAAAATGGCCATTCTCCCAAAACTGTCATACAGATTCAATACAATCCCAATAAAAATACCATCAACATACCTTATAGATCTAGAGAAATCACTCCTAAGGTTCATCTGGAACCAGAAGAGACCTAGAATAGCAAAGGCAATTCTAAGCAACAAAGGCAAGGCAGGAGGCATCACAATCCCTGACTTGAAGTTATACTACAAAGCAACAGTAGTAGAATCAACATGGTCCTGGAATCAAAACAGAGCAGAGGATCAATGGAATAGATCAGAAGATACAACCACAACTACAAACACACTCAACCACCTTATCTTCGATAAAGGAGCCAAGCAGTTTCACTGTAAAAACGACAGTCTTTTTAATAAATGGTGTTGGAAAAACTGGCTCTACATTTGCCGAAAACTAAAATTCTACCCAAGCCTATCACCATGTACTAAATTAAAATCTAAATGGATCAAAGATCTGAATATTAAAACAGAAACACTAAATCTATTGGAAGATAAATTAGGTAGAACCCCTGAAGACATAGGGGCTGGTAGAGAATTCATGAACAGGACTCAAACCGCACGGGAAATGCTTCCCAGAATCAATAACTGGGACCACCTCTTACTAAAAAGTTTCTGTAAGTCAAAAAAAATCTCCAGCATAGTGAAAGGAAAACCAACAAATTGGGAAAAGATCTTAGTGAACTCCCCCTCAGACCAAGGACTCTTGTCTAAAACATATAAAGAATTTAAAAAAATCAGACCCCCAAAATTCAAAGACCCAATCCAAAAATGGGCATCTGAGATGATACATGCCTATCAGAGGAAGAAATACAAATGGCAAATAAATACATGAAAAAATGTTCATCGTCATTGGTTATTAGGGAAATGCAAATTAAAACCACACTGAGATTCCATCTCACTCCTGAAAGGATGGCCAGGATCAAGAAAACCGAGAACAACAAGTGCTGGAGAGGCTGTGGGGGAAAAAGGAACTCTCATACACTGTTGGTGGGAGTGTAGACTGGTCCAACCTTTGTGGAGGTCAGTCTGGAGATTTCTCAAAAAGCTGGGATTGGAAGTCCCATTTATTACAGCTATTCCACTTCTAGGCATATTCCCAGAAGAACTGAAAGCATCATACCAAAGTGATAGATGCACACCTATGTTTATAGCAGCACAATTTGTAATTGCCAGATCTTGGAAACAACCCAAATGTCCATCAACTGAGGAATGGATAAAAAAGCTGTGGTACTTCTATAGAATGGAGTACTACTCAGCTATAAAGAAGGATCACATTGAGGTATTTATCAATAAATGGGCACAGCTTGAAACCATACTCATAAGTGCACTAAATCAAACTCGCATCTGTGAACACTGAATAGTTTCCCTAGTGTAGGAAATGATTCAAATATATAAAAGTATGTGATAACCATGATTCCCCATTATGTGGCCTTGAAGCCTTATAAAATTTTCACTCATTAATTAGAGTGACTATTCTGGGCTGTTTGATATTATGGCCTGTGATGCAATGAACAGCTACTTTGAAGAAAATAAGACATAATAATAGCTAGTGCTGATTTAATACCATCTTGTCTTAAAGCTGCACCAAACTATGGCTCTTATGTCTCCATTGATTTTATCATGTTGTAATTTGCTGGATTTTATCGTATGTGGTAGTATAAACAAAAATTGTTATAGGCAAAGAGATAATATAGAAACCATTGATCATTTTTCCTGTTAGCTGGTTCTAAATACTCTATAATGTTTTCATCCACTTGAATGGTGTTACACAGTCTTGATATGTTTGACTTGTATCCTTACACTGTTTTGTTTTGTTCTGCTTTTTTTTCTCTTTTTCCTTTTAAATAAAATATTTTTTAAAAAAATCACAGGGGGAGGTGTCTGTCATCCCAGAGAGCATACTCCTTTCTTGGGCTTGCAGGAGCGGTGACCTACGCACTTTATCACCCAACACCCACAGTTCAAAGGGAGAGAGGGTTACCTTGGTTCTGGTCAGGTGCTCCAGGGCACAGAGCTGCTCATCCCATGACTGCTGGGGAGTGGGGAGTAAAAGGGGGAGCAGGGGATGGGAATGTATTCCCCAGGTCACACGCCCACCAATCAGGCCCACTGCCTACTAGCAAGTCACTCACACCAGCCCCATTACCCAGTCACTTTCTGAAAGCCCCACCTCTGAACACCTGAGCCATTTGTGGACATCCTGATTCTAAGCCATAATGAGGTTTGGGGAGGCAATGGCTTATGGGTGGCTGGAGGAGCACTCATGACCCCCGCTCCACAGCCCTGGCACCTGAGCAATGGTGAGGGACCTTAATTAAAACCATGAGGGACCAAGAGAAAAGACTCGGTAGATCAATGGTCTTTTCAAAACTGTCCTTTCTGTTCTACCTTTCACCCCATTTATAACCACTGCAAGACTGCCTCCAGTTTCTCCAGGATTCTCTTACTAACTGATTACTTTTCAAGTCCAAATTCCGTCCTTCTTACACCCAGTACAGGAACCTGGCTGTGTTTGTCAGATTTCCATTACTTTGTCAAATTATTCAAGCTAGTCTACATATTAAAAGAAAGCCCTTGAGCCTCAGGCTCCTTTGCTGTCTATCACTGCAGCCTTTCCACAAGAGCTTCTGTGAGCCCCAGGCTTCTTCATGCCCACTATGGAAGCACAAGCTGCTCCTCCACAGGGTGAGTTCACCCGGTATTTTGACTTGTTTTTCTGGAAGAACACATGCCTGTTTAGTATTGTAATCCCAAATACTGAGTAGTTATCCAAATATCGTAGTCCCTTTTCCAGTTTTTCTCACAATCTAAAAAGTTGTATTTATAATCTCATTGAAATGTTATTGGAATCCCAGCAAGTTAATTACGATCTACCATCTCCAATTCAACCCACTGTAAGAGTAAAGACCCCAAGACACACTTCAAGTGAAGTGCAGCCAAGAGGTCCTAAATCGAATCCTTGTGAGGATGTGAGGATAAAGGCCCTGATTCTAGGCCCTCCCAGAATTTACTGTCTTTGAAGAAGGGGGGTGGCTCAGGGATGAGTGACAGTGAGGATGGCAGGGGAATTACCTGAGTAACTTGAGCTGGCCAGTCAGGTAGGGAGAAAAGAATCTCTGCAAAATGCAGCCATAAGGATATGCAGAAGGATCAATTTGCATAATTCAATTAAGGTAGCAACTGAATTATTGTAGGAGGCTGTTGTTTTGGTTTCTGATATGTAAACTTTTGTGCCCTGGGGAGTCATAGCCTCTTTACCTTGAGACTCATACCCAGTTGACATTCCTGGAACTGAGGGATATTATCTCCACCTGGTCGTATCTTTTACAGAAAGCACTATGGGAGGAAACAGGAAAACATCTGACAGCTTTACATATAATTACATATCAATACCTTGGTTAACCTTATTTGCAATGCTTAGAGCCAGTTGAAGAGAGAAAGAAATACTATAGCCAGCTCTCTACATATCAGTATAAGGAAATCAGTCTCCATATAATCAAAGTTGCAGGAACTGTTTTGCATTCAAGGGGAGTCACTGGAATTGTCTCCCACACTTTAGGGCCTGAGTAGAGACTCAATTTGTGGGATTCAACTGCCCAAGGTGAGCAACAAAGCTCTCACATGGCCCTTGTGGTCCCCTGAGTGTCTCTGCCCAGGGAAGGAAGGAGGACACTGGTTCATACCAGCCAGCTCAGTGCCCAGCAGGGCATGAGGCATAGTAATGATGTGTGAGAAACAAGAGCCAGATCCTCCTTCACTTGCTTTTATTTTGTCAGTCCTGGAACATAGTTGGCCTCAGATGGACAGGCAAGCCCAAAGGGAGAAGCACAGAAGGGTAGTGCAGAGCTCAGCCAGGGGACTTGTGGTGAAGCCTGGACATCGGGATGCTGTGGGTCCGTCACCTATTCCTGAGCAAAATGAGCTACAACAGGAAGATATGAAAAGACAGCAGGACCATGAAAACCTGGGGCTTGATAGTGTCCTGAGAATTAAAGGTAGTCAGGGCTGGGGGCTTTTCTATAGGAGGGGCCAAGGCGATGTCAGGATCAGGATTGGCACTCTTCTTCTCTTGAATCCACGGGGAAAAGTAGGAGACCTTGGCAAAGACGCTTGGGCCCACAGGCTTCAAACATTCTGAGCTCCAACTGGTCACTCCTACCAGATACCAGACTCCTTGTACTGGGCAGACAAGGGGACCCCCGGAGTCTCCCTGAGGAGAGAGAGGACATGGATGTTGGAACCGAGATAGGGAGGAGCACACATTGCCCAGAGTGGAGCAGACAAACTGGGCCCCAGGGTTTGCCACTGTCAACATGCGTGGTGCTCATCAGGGTAACCTGGATGATTTAGAAGTTCAGACTCCAGGGGGATGACAACTCCTGGATGAGTATCTTCAGAGCAAGGACCCAGACCCTCATCCTACAAACCTCCCAAGGGGATCCTGAGTACCACCTGAGTTGGTAGTCACAGGTGTATGACAATAAACAAAGGGACTCTGGGAGTCTGACATCTGCACTCTGCCCTCCCACTCACATGAGAGAAGGGGCCTCTGAAGTCCTACAAGGCAGCAAAGTGGCTAGCCTGTGGCCTTTGGCTTTACCCTGAGCCCACTGCAGCATCCTGCATGTGTCTTTGTACGTGACTTAATAAGTTCTCCAGTGTTCTGAGTTCCTTGGCTGATTTTAATTAGAAAATGCAAATCTGACAGGGGCAGGGGAGTGGGGGAGAACAGGCAAAGCTATCCAATGGGCTGAGGGGAAAAGAGCTGCTGCCTGGGTCATGGAGGGCTCTGGAAATACTGTGGCAATTGCCTGTGCAGCAGAGTCCCACAGGCAGAAAGAGCCCAGCCTTCATGGGGAGAATGCCCTCAACTCACAGGCCAAGAAATCACACTCAGGGGAGCCTAGTACCCTCCAGCCACTTGTTAGATACCATGGTAGATAACAGATAACTAACAGCTAGCTCTGTTCACAGGTGGTATTCAAGAGCATTGCGCCTACCTGCATACAGGATATGTGCAAAGCAGGCAACAGAGAGGACAAGAAGAGCTCCAGAGGGACAGCACCAATTGGGCCATCAGAGAGCTTCTCTGGGGCAAGACTGGAAGGAGTGAGGCCTGGATGTGGCAATCATGGGCTGGACAGTGAGACCCTCAGCAGGAGGCAAGAGGGTCTGGAACACATTTAGCAAGGCTGTTCTAGGGCTGCTGGGGTATGGCCAGCTGCAGACGCCAGGCTGTTCAGATCACCCTGTCGAAGGCATAGCAATGACTATCCCTTTGACAGGAAATGCTCAGCATGCAGGATTTTCACTGACTGATCCCTTCTTTGTATCTGTGTTTCAAATGTAATGTAAGGACCAGGGGTTTAGCTCAGTTGTGTAAGTGACTACCTGGCAATCGTGATGTCATGAGTTTGATCCCTGGTAGAAAAAGAAAAACATAAGGGAAAAGCAGTAGGCTGAGTGTGGAGAAGGCTTTGGTGGTCAAAAAAACAAAAGCAAAGGGAGCAGAGCCTAATGTAGGATGTGCACCAAAACAGGTAGGGTGAGCTGAGGAAGGGTGAGAAGCAATGAAGCAAGAAAGGGTATGTGCAGACACAGGAATGCTGCCCAAAATGCTACCAATGCAAGAACAGATAGGTACAATTATGCTATACTCACATAGTGAGTAGCCAAATGCCTCAAACAGTGCTGACTGAAAAGAGACATGATTTGTATTAAGTCCCAGTACAAATGCACTGTGCTTTAGTAGCTAATATAGGATAGTAGGGGAGAATAGTGACAAGACACAGGCGTAAGTATTGTAGGAGACAATTTGAGTGACTTCCCTCCAATGCAGAACTATTGCTGCAACATTGATTATATTTCCTTCTGACTTCAGTTGACTCTAAGCATTGCAGATAAGGCTAGCCAGGTACTGGTTTGTGATCTCTAAAGCCATCAGACAGTCAGTCTCCTGTTTCCTTGCATAGTGCTCTCTGTAAAAGATCTGACACAGTGGAATGACAGAATCAGTCAGCCCCAGGCATGTATGCTGGTTATGAACCTCTATGTAAAGAGGCTATGATTCCCCTGGGCCCAAAAGTTTACATATCAGAAACTGAAGCTTCAGCTTCCAAAAACAATTCAGTTGTTACCTTAATTTAATTTTACAGATTGGTCATTCTCCCTGCATTTTGCAAAGATGCATTTCTCCCTACCTGGCTTGCCAGCTCATTACTTACAAAGTTCCTTGCCATCATCACTATGGATTCTCAACCCCTGCCCCCTTCTTCACAATATAAATTTGGGGACAGGCCTTGGATCAGGACCTTTGTCTGCATATCCTCAAGGTGATTGGAGTTAGGACCCCTTGGCTGCCCTTAATTTTGAATACATGTGGGTGTCTTTACTCTTGCTATGAGTTGCATTGGAGGTGGTAGATTGGAATTTACTTGCTAGGGTTTCAACACCATCTCAATGGGATTAAAAATGTAGCTTTCTGGGTTGTGAAGAAGATAGGAAAAAGAATTATCATACTTGGGTTACCATACTCAATATTTCAGATTGCAATAAGTATGGCCCATTGGGTGTTGATTGCATAAACCTATTGAACTGTAAAACTTCAACAAATAGTACAAAGTAAGCCTTTTCCTTGTATGCTACATTTTAACCCTTTTTAAATGATACAAAGAAGATGGATGAGAAGGCTTCCTGCCCTGCTCAGCAGACTCTGGGGATTTGGGCCTGCCAGCACCCTCAATTCCAGAGAATGGGTGGCCTAGGGTGAGTGTCCCTGCATCCTCCCCCGAGCCCCAGGAGTTTATGATTCTTGCTTCTGCTCCAGCAAGCAAAATTTAAGGCTTCCTGCTGCACTGCACAGGTCTTGGGCCTGCGTCCTCCAACTTCCCAGCTTCCTGCCATGCTTAGCGGACTCTGGGAATTTGGGCCTGCCTGCACCCTCAATTCTGGAAACTGGGTGGCCTGAGGTGAGTGTCTCTGCAACATACCAAGCCTGGGAGTTGGGGATCACTGCTCCCACCAGCCAAGGAACTTCATACCTCCCTACCACACTGAACCTGCCCCACAGGGCTTGGGCCTGCCTCCCCACCCCCAGTGACCCTCTCTCAATCCTAGGATCTGGGCGGCCAGAGTCCCAGGAGCTGAGAGCATCGAAGAGGATTTCCAACAGACCCTGGGGAAACCTTGGAATAATACTTGAAACACAGAATTATAGGAAAATGACAAAATGAAAAAGCAAAATACAATCTCAAACCTCCAGCCCATTGCAAGAAACCTTAGGAGCTATGTACATAGAAGAAAATATATGCCATACACCTGAAATACCTGAAATAATAGCAACTGAAATAAAGAAGCAACTCCAGGAATCTTTAAAGGAATTCAAACTAGAAATAATCTCCCAGGTAAAAGAAGAAATGAAAGCGATGCTGAACATATCTAAAAAAAAAACACAGTTAAAAAATTGGAGGAACTAAACAAAAAGGTAGAATTCCTGGATGAATAATATAAGAAACAAAAAGAATATATAATGCAGATGCAAAGAGATATACAGGAAATCAAAAATTCCACTGAAAGTTGTAAAAGCCACCTCAATGAAAGTGAAGATAGAATTTCAGACCTCAAAGACAAGATTGCAGCTAGTGAACAGGAAAGGAAAGATCTTTTAAAAATAACAAGGAATCAGGAAATAACAATTCAACAGCTGCAAGATGATGCAAAGAAAAACATTATAACATTGAAGGGATAAATGAAAAAGAAGGAGACAACATAAAGGATGTCAAGAGGATATTTAGAGAAGTAATAGCTGAAAAGTTCCCAAACATGAGAATGGAAACTGACATCAGGATCAGTGAAGCATATAGAACTCCAAATAGGCAGGAGCAAAGATGGATAGATAACAGCTGGCTACAGAGGTTCCCTGAGATAGTCAACTTAGAATTCAACATAATACAGCACGGAGAGCCCTGAACAGAGGGAAATGAATTCTGTCATCCCAAAAGAAACTAAGGTGAGAAGAACCAATCAAACATACAGTCCTAGTCCTATTATTGGAACAGTTAAAGGTTGAGTGCTCCCAACACAGCAGGTGACTTGCCAAGCCATGCAAGGTCCCACCGCTTTGACTCTTTGGAGGCACAGTCACACTGAGGTTGGGGGTTGGCCAGCTGAACGGAGAGAGCTGAGCTGGTGAGGAGCCTGCATTGACCTGTGGTAAGTGGTGGCAGTGGAGCCATTCCACAGAAAGGGGGCTCTGACGGACAACATTCTGGGACTGGGCAGGACTGACAAGTACAAGGGACAGCAGTGACTTCATTCAGTTGTTCTCTTCCCAAACGGGATTGGTGGAGTGAGCTACACCTGGGTCATGCGACCTGGCTGAGACCCAATAGGTTATCTGAAATCAATTCTCTATGTCAGTGGTGCACACTAACGCAGTGAAACCTCACCAGTTGGACTGACCCGGAGGGAGGGCAGTACATAGTAATCCTGTGCAGGCTTCAGCAGCTTGAATGATCCCAAGGGGAGGGGCCAGCATATGCTGCCCCTGTCTGCAATTCACTAGCACACTGCAGTGGGAAGGGTCACCTAGCTAGCGTGCTTCAGAAGAATTGGAACCAACAAAGAAAGAAACTGTGGCCTCCTGGAAAAAACAAAAAAGATGGGAAGAGGAAGCAACAACAAAAAGTCCACAGGTCCCAATCCTGAGAACACTGACCCAGGACAGGTAAATACAAAGGAGAATGAGAACAGCAAACATGCAATACAAGACACAGCACCAGTGTACATAAAGCGATATCTTCAGGACCTCATAGACAAGTTCAAAAGTGAAACATTTAGCCAAGTAAAGCAAGATATAAGAAAATTAATAAAAGAAATGCTAAGCACCCCTTAAGCAGACACATGTGGAAGAAGGGAGGAACTCAAGCAAAGGAGAGAGCCAGTTGATGAAGAATATAAAGAAATAGAATACATGAAGCAGAGTCAAAGAGATTACTAGGAAATTAAAAACTCTATGGAAAGATTGTAAATCTACTTGAAAGAAACTAAGGATAGATTATCCAAACTGGAGGACAGTTTTGCAATGTGGGATTATGAAAGGAAAAACTTTTTAAAAATAACAAGGAAACAAGCAGTAACAATACAAAGGGTAGAAGATGACAAGAGGATCTATAATTTGAGAATAAAGAATGTGAATGAAGAAACAGGGGT